CCAAACCCGAGCACATGATCACTCAGAAATAAGCAATATCCACAACACCCATCTGTTGCAGCAGGGATAAAAGTCAAGCCTTCCTGCAACCAATAACCCCAGTATGAACTATTCAGCATAAAAAAAAGAAGGATGAAATTATTTACCTGGATGGATTCCAACAAATTGACCATATTGGAGATGAAGCACCCCCTGCACGCTCTATTTTCACCTTCTCATCACCATTTTTGTTCCTTATGCTGACAACGCCGTTGAACATCCCCAGAGCAAGGTACTGGCCATCATTTGTCCAGCTGGCAAAACACACACATTCTGAAGAGCAAACTACTAAAAACAAGCAGCAGGAAGGTAGGATGGTGCAGCACACTCAAACAGGGATGGTAGACTGAAATACACTTTGAAGAGGGAGTTCTGGGAGGTAGCCAGTAATCCTACAGTTTGTTTATGCATCTAAATCCACACTTATGGCACCAGCATGCACTACAGCAAGAACACTTCATGATGTACACAGAAACTAAAGATTGTAGAAACAAAAAAAATAAATAAATCAAAGCTATCATCTGCTTGCAATACTCCTAACATGTGCTAAGTAACAGATACATTTTTGGGATGACAGTGTTGGCAGTAGACCAGACTGCTTTAAAAGCCACATTTAGAACACTGATCAGACAGAACTACATGGTGCAGGACAGGGGAGTGGATTTCTGTTCTTATCTCTGCTGCAGGTACATGGAGGACCTCACACAAACAGAGGTGCCCTTGCTTCAGGTCCTCCATAATGGCAGTATCTCCTTCTACTGAAAATACCAGCAATACAGGAGGTTAACAGCTCTACAAACAAAAAGTATAACTTTTCCCTCTAACTTCTCTTTGTTGTTATTGCCCAAGATGGCTAAACAGGGAGAGAGAAAAGTGAAGACACTTTCTCAAGACGAGAACAAATCACCCTTGATATCCATTAGTCACATTCCCACTGGAGCATTATACACTGCCCAGGTATTGTAATGATGAGAGTGGGGAAGCAGCACAAAGTGCATGATGCTACTCAGGAGGAAGGCAGGAGTGTCATCTCACACTGCCAGGCACTGCCTCTGCACACATTGGACTATTTCACTTGAACTTTCTTCTTCAAGCTTTCATATTATTTTGACTTGTTTGTATTAACACAGGTAATCCTTAAAACTTACCTACAGCAGGTAATCTTACTGCTGGTTTTATTTTTAGTGACTGACTTCTGTTCAGGAGACCACAAGCCTTGAGTAAAGCAAATAAAAAGCCAAATTACAAGTAAGCATTTACCAGTGTTCAGATTAGAAATTAACAGAAAACTCAGTTGGGACTTCAAAGTCTCATCCACTGCTAGACAGACATTTAAATATATGCTACTTATCAATAAATGGGGAAAAAATTAATCTAAATAACACAGGAGGGTCAGAGACAAGGCAGTACAAGTTACCCTCAGCACCTCACTCCATGGTCCTTCCCAACTGAGTTTAAGTTATTTAAATAAGTATCTAACGTTACTTCACTGGGTAGCTGGGTATCCCCTCTCATGTGGATATAAAGAGCTGTACCTCCCTGGAGCTCTACAACTTTACCAGAATTCCCTGGCTTAACAGACAAGTTGGAGGCAGACATACCAAAATCACTGGAGGAGCAGGATGCCAACTGATGAGTAAGAGGATTGTATGAAACGCACTGGATGGAGTCATTATGCCTAGAATGAAGTTACAGTCACATCTCAATAAATCATTCTTAAATGCCCCTGCTTCTGACTTTCAGCAAGATAGCTGAAAGGTTTGCCAGATGCCTGAAATAATGTGATCAGCTTATATTACATCAAATTAATCTGCAATTACTGCAAACTAAATCATAATAATCCTTAAAAAAACCCTGCCTCTAAGTGGCAGGATTCATTGTATTTCAACAAGATTAACCAAAAACGTACATAGATGGTGGTTTGTGAAACACAATTAAAGGTTAGCTCCAAATTCCAGAACAAGCAGGCTTGTGGGCAGCAGCACACTGCCTGTGCCACTAACTCATGTAGACACACACTCAGAAACAGCAGGTGAAGATGTTCCTTAAGAAGGATGCCAAACACAAAGCCAGAGGAAAGATGAAATGATACTTCAAATATCAAACCCTGTCTTTAATTTGGTCTTTGAACCAGAAACAGATTAATTCTGTTTATTATACAGGAACAGAGTCACATTCTGTTTCATCATAAAGTTTCCTCAGCTCTCTGCCAGCCCTCTAACTCCAGAGATTTACCTAGACTTTTCACCCTCTTTCATGGCTGTAATTACTTCCTGCTTCATTCAAATACCTCCACTGTTCTTCTCTTCCCTCTCCTATTGTCCACTCACCAGCATTTTCTTTGACCTCAGTCAACCTTCTTCCAAATCTAATGGCACATACTCTTTAACAGAAGTGCATAACCAAAGCCTGCTTTTGAGAGGCACAGAACTGAAAGGCATCACTTACGTGTATTTCAGGATTCCCTCTAGCTTTGAAGTCCAAATTATCACACTTTTATCAGCAGAGCCAGATGCGAAACGTTTGCCTAGGAATTAAATATAATATTTAATCCCACACACACAGGAATCACTTTCATTCCAAATACTCAAAGATAGAGCAAAATGCTCTTGAACTTGACAAGGCTGAAGTCACAGAAGGCCTAACACTGCAAGTGCCTTGATGTGACTGCACCTCTCCACCTACATGGAGCTCCAGGGGCTTTGTTATTCCCACAGTGCCTCATCAGAGGCCCCCCACACCAGCAAGCAGCCAGGCTCTCCCACACTGCCAGTCACCAGTGTCCAGGGAAAAAGGGTACATTTACACAGGTACCCCCTGTATTTCAGTTCCCACACAGAGTAAGACCTGGGAACAATGAAAGAACTGGAAGCAGAACAAGGTCTGTGGCAAGCATGGTGATGTGTGAAGGATCAGAGGATCAGGAGGTTTTGGGACAGAGAAGCCATGGGAATAAAAGTCAGAGGCAGGTGGAGCACTAGAAGGAGGGGCCCCTGGGATAAACCTTCTCCTCACGTTATCCCACAAACACAAACTGAACCTGTGCTGCAGCAGGAGGGGAAGGGCACTTCTGCCTGTAGCATTGCACAACAGCTCCAACTCCCCATTAAAACAAACAAAACACCAGCACTCACACACACATTCAAAATGCTGTTACCAAAACCACCCCGATCTCTCTAAGGACTGGCAGCAGAGGTGGGAGAGGGGCACTTCAGAGAGCAGACTCACAAAGTGGTATTTACCATCTCTAGCATAAGCCACACAGTACACAGTGTCCTTGTGTCCTTTCAAAGGCTGGATTAAGGTTCCATCAGAAGTATCATACACCTGTTTAAACAAACACAAAAAAGAAAAAAAAAATCATACATAAAAATCTTCCACTTAAGACTATGATATAAAATTACTGCAGGCCAACAAAATCATACATTTTCCTTTGTGTTTGCTCCCTCTCAGAGCATACAGCCCATGCAAGAAAAAATGCTCTACAGTGTAGCAACAGCCTTCCTTCATGGAATAGTACTCAGAAGGAATGAAGACTCAGTATTAGAAAGTTACATGCACATAAGAAATTTCCAAGAAGCTCATTTGCCCAGCTTGTTTTCATAGAATCATACAAAGGTTTAGGTTGGAAGGGACCTTAAAGATCATCTAGTTCCAACCCCCCTGTGTGGGCAGGGACACCTCCCACCAGACCAGATGTTAAAACATAACAAATCACTGGAAAGGACCATCACTAAATACACCATTCTGTAGGCACTGAAAACAGTAAAGCCTGCAGTTCTGAACAACACCTCTAGAATGGTGCCATCAACCCATCCACCCCTGAAGCTTCTACACCTGCCCCATCTAACAGCTGTGCAGGAACTGTGGGAAGCCTGGTCCTGAGCTGCTCCTCTGAGGGGTCAGCAGCAGGCCAGAGGAACCAGGAAACTGCAAAAAGCTCCAGATGAAGCTTCTGACAAAGCAGGGTCATCAATTTGTGTTTCTTTCCCCTCTTCACAGAGGTTTTCATGAAGCCTGTAGCAAGGCCATATCTGTACACCCTGCCACTGTGCTCAGCTCGGATGGAGGGTAATGGATTTCAAACCACTGGGTGAGGGGCAAGAGGATGAGATAAGTCACTTAAATCTCATTAATAGAGCTTAAAACGTGGTAAGAAACATTAGAAGCCTTCAAAACACTTTATAGTTACCCTGCATTAACATGTATGTAGATAGGCTGGGCTGCCAGAGATAAAAGGATTTTTTCTAAGTTATATTCATAAGTTAATGTGAAATAAATTATATTCGTACCGCTGTAAATGTAAGAGGAAAAAGAAGTTTCCCTACCAGCAGCCTATTTCCAGCAGCAATTACCAGCTGAGTCCCATCCGGTTTGAATGCGAGGTCATAAATACTGGGGGAAACAGCAGAGAAGACCCCCCTGAGCGGGCAGAACGCGCGTCTCCTTCAGCACCACAGCAGCCGGGGAACAAACGCTGCTGATCGCCGCCTCCGGGGCAGCCCCGGGTACCCAGCCAACCCCCCAAAACCCCACCC